ACGCGGGGGGGTAGATCTGGAGGGGGGGGGGGGGGGGGGGGGGTGCGGTGACGGCAGGTCTGCCACACAGGGAGCATGCTGGTTGAGACTGGGGCAAGGAGGCGTAGAGCCCCACCCCAAGCCAGTATGGTGCCCGGGATGAGGGGAAAACGGTGTGAAGGGCACAGCATGCATCTTCTCGGCACCAAACCACGCACAGTAAAGAGGTGGGGGCCCTTGAAGTCCACGCCGCCCAGGACGAGGGCTGCGCTCACGTGACCCTGGTACCTGCAGCGCGTCGCGCGGGGGGCCCGGGTCGGACGTGAGCATCCCCAGGGCTCACCGAGATGGCATTCGACAGTCCCCACCGACACGCAATTCGAATGTCGCAGCCCTCCGGGTACCAACAAGCAGCAATGAATCGGCATTTTGGTCTCCAAGGCCGAGGACCCCTGTCCCCCCGACCATGCCGCCACACACCTCCCCCCCCCCAACCCCACGCCGTGGCCCACTTGAACAGGTGGCTCTTCAGGAGGGTCAGGGCGGTGACCACACGCGACTCGCGGTTGGTGCCGTACCGGTGCAGCTCCAGCTGCGAGGACACCATGCCCGTCACGTTCTCGGTGTCGGCTGCCGTGCCCGCGCCGCAGCAGTAGATGTTGGGCGCGATGAAGTGGATCTTCTCGCAGTTCTTGTCGGCCACGGTGCTGCCGGATGTGGAACGGGTGTCTGCCCCCAGCACGATGCCGTCCTGTGTGATGGGAGGATGCAGGGATGGCAGCCGGTGAGGATGCACAGGCGTGCCAGGGAGCATAGCCACAGGGTGCCGCACAACCCCCGCACCTTGAAGATGATGCCGGCGATGGTGGTCCCCGTTTTCGTGAAGCCCGGCCCCTGCATGCCGCGCTTCTGCAGCAGCTCATTGCGCTCGACCAGATCGAAGTTGAAGCCCCCAGTGGCGGACGCCATGGCTCTTCTGGTCGTGTGTTGGGTGCCACCGAGCAAAGCCTGGAGATGCCTCAGACAATTCTTTTCCTAGTGTTCGTCTCGGGTGCCGAGACTCGGATCCAGAGGAGCAGGAGCCTGTCAAGACACGAAGTAGAAGGTCCTCTGCGGCACGATCAGTCCAAGGAGCTCCGCACAGTGAGACCGTCGCAGCGCCGCGCTGTATGCACTGGTGATCAGTCTTTTGGATCGCCTGGATGGCCACAGGGGCAATTCGCGCTCAGAGAACAGGCACAGGATGTGATCACATCGTCGCGGACTGGGAAGCATCTTCCCGCCACGAAGCTCGAGTGCGCGAGCCAGATCACCTGCTTATGAGCACCAGCCTGGCTATTCACCGTTCGAGCTGGTCGTAGATCGCGGTACATAACATTGTTCCACGCACAGAGGAGAAGAGGACACGATGAACGACATCATCGATGTGGATCCCACGCTCCCTGTCGTCAAAAATGTCTTGCTCATGGATAATGAGGGCAAGCGCATTGCCGTGAACTATTATTCATCAGAGTGGTGAGTAAAAGGGGGAGACGCAGGGGAGTGCTGCACAGCCATCGTCGCACCAGGCCTGTTCCGAGGTACTAGCTTCGGTTGCACAACGTCCGTGCCTCGCAGGGCCACTGTCCAGCAACAAGCTGCCTATGAGAAATCTCTCTTTGCCAAGACATCCCGCACAAATGCTCGAGGAGAAGGTGCGCTGTGGTGCTGATCTGCCCTGTTGAGGACATTTTGTTGGGGCTTACCGGCTGGCAGAGGGTTTGCTGAAAGTACTCCCTCCGACCCCCCCCCTGCAGCCGAGATCATCACCTTTGACAACGTGGTGGTCGTGTACAAGTTTGTGGGCGACCTCATGTTCTTCGTCACCGGCAGCGTGGATGAGAATGAGATCATCCTGCACAATGTGCTGACTGGATTTGTTGAGGCCATTGTGCTCCTGCTCAGGTATGAGTGCAGAGCGGTGATCAGATGACCCTGGTCGCTCAGCAGTTGCACGTAGTATTCGCATCCTCAGCCATCATCAACCCTGCCTGCTCCGCCAGGAATGCCGTGGAGAAGAAGACGGTCCTTGAGAACCTGGACCTCATCCTCCTCGCCATGGATGAAATCGTCGAGGGGGGGTGAGCGACCTTGCCGATGATTTGGTGCAACGAGTGGCATCCTTATTGAGAATAGGGCCGTGTATTGGTTTTGGTTCTGTTGCTGCTTGAGCAGTGCCTGACTGGGCCTCGGGGAACGCGAGGGCCAGCGCTCCTGGCAGGCCAACTGGTGTGCGTCTTCATGACCTCAGCTGGTGACCTTGCGCACCATGATCCTGCACATTTTGCGCTCACCAGGCCCCCTCCACATCCATAGATTGATCCTGGAGACAGACGGCAGCACGATTGCGAGTCGAGTGGCCATGCGGACCGTGGACGATGGCAGCCCCCTTGCCGTCGACAACGCTCTCAATGTAGGGTACAGGGCAGGTGTTTGGAGTTGGATTCAGAGGGACCCTCAGTTGTAGAGCGCGCGTGGGAAGAAGTGGGGACGATGTCGTGTAGTAGGGTGACTGCGCTGCTTTGGTGATGGCCACTCACGTATGCACCGACGATGGGCTCTATGACACCAACCTGCCACGTTTCAATCCCATCCAGTGCATGCCGGCACTCGATACTTTCCATTCCTGCGTAGACATGCAAGGGTTGTTGGAATATCCCTTCCCAGCCCATACCCGTCAAATCCCACTCATCCCACCGCCCATGTTCCCTGCAGAACCCCAATATCCAGACACTGTCTCAAGCCTTTGGGTCCGTTCGGGACCAACTGACACGTTCCCTTCTTCGATGAGGGTTGACACACATGCTCTGTGCTGTAGCCCCGGGATCGGCGGGGCCCCGCACGACATCGCAGTCATGCGGCCTGCATCCGCGCACCCTGTCCCCTGGCCGCCAGATCTCAAGCCGCACCCAGAAGCCTGCACGCCCCCTCCCTGCTCTGCCTCCTCTCGCTGCTCATCAATCTCACGACAAACCTTGTGGCACACTGTCGCCTACGCTGGGGGTCTGAGGAAACGAGGGGGGAGAGCGGGACCGCCCAGGGGACCATGCGAGGGATCACGGCGCGGGGATGCGGGGACGGGTTGGAAAGGGGGGCGCTGGCGCAGGTGCCCCGGCGCCCGGTGCCGTCTCGGCGTGGGCGGGCCTGCGTCAGCGCCCCGTACAGATCTTGGCCGGCCCTGCCGGGGCTCAGGGCCGGGTGGGCGGCTGCGCCTGCGCCAGCCCCTTCTGGCTCAGCCGGTCGTTCCAGTGGAAGCAGCGCTCGATGCTGCCAAACCAGTCGGTGGTCTGGTCGGCGTGGTTGATGGTGGGCACCGGGTTGGGACTCATGCACACCCGCAGCGAGTCGCCGGGGGCCAGCTCCGTCCCGCGCTTGCCGTCAAAGGACACCTGCGCCGCGCAGCGCGCGTCGGGGCTCACCCGCAGGCGCAGCACCGCGTAGTCTGGCAGGATCACGGGCCTGCATGCGGGAGGGCGGGCGGGGGTGTCACCTGGGAAATGCAGACGTCGGCGGCCTGTTGTTGGCGCGGAACAGAGCAGCACCCAAGGCCTGGGTGAGGGGCGACCAGATCCAACACCGCATGGAGCAGAGCAGGGGGTGCCTGGCGATGACACTCACCGGCGCCCCGCAAACCCCAGGCCCGCCCACCGCACAGCCGGCATGCCAGGCACTGCGTCTGTCAAACCCCCCTTTCCCGCACACACACGCACCTGAAACTGAGCGAGTGGGGGCAGATGGGGGTGAAGAGGATGGCGGGCGTGTTGGGGTGGACCATGGATCCGCCGGCGGCCACAGAGTAGGCGGTGGAGCCCGTGGGCGTGGCCACCAGGATCCCATCCGCCTGGACCTGATTGGGGTAGGGGGTGGGGGGTGGCATGGGCTGGGGCGCCGGTGAATCAGACGAGGGTGCCAGCGCTCGGCAAGACCCAGCGTCGGCATGCCGGGAAGGGGCGCCTGCCATGCTCATTGGTATGGCCGGGGGACGTGCCGGCCTGCATCAGGCCAACACCTCCATGGCAGCAGGCTCCCCCTCCCCTCCCCTCCGCCACACCCCTCTGCACACCTGGGTGATGTAGTTGTCGCGCTCATACACCTCGATGTTGCACAGGTAGGGGTTGGCGCCCCGACTCAGCACCACCTCGTTCAGCACCTCCACGCAGTCTTCGCTGGGGGGCGGCCCCTCGCCGACATCCGCGCGGTCCACGCTGCAGGTCAGGCGCATGCGCAGGGTGATGGGGATGCCCTGCAGCGCCACGCCCGACGAGTTCTTGATGGGGCCGCACTCGGTGAGCTCCTGGGAGGTGAAGGGGTGGGGGCAATGTACCGCCAGAAAAGTGTGGGCGCTGCTGCAAACCCACCTCCTTTCACGGAACAGATACCAGAGTCCACTCCCGAGCAGCTCTTGCTTCTCACCCACAGCCCAATAGCAGGGCCCCCTGCTCTGGCCCCACCCCTGCAACCCACTGTGCAGCCATGGATGACGTCGTGCAAGTGTCGGCGATAGTCGCGGTGGTCGTGGCAGGTGAGGAACCCCAGGGAGCCCAGCTTGAAGGAGATGATAGGCGGGATGGTGGTGCCAAACAGATGCGCAGCGTGCAGAATCAGGCCATCGCCCCCCAGGCTGACGATGAAGTCCACCGCCCGGTGCAGGCCAAAGGCCTCGCTGGGGTGGAAGGGCAGGATCCACTTGCCCAGGCCCTGGCGCACCTGGAAGTTGGATGGGGGATGGAGGGTGGGGAGGCAGTCACAGCGACTGCCCAGCACTTGGAAGCAACCCCAGAGGTGGCAACCCTGCTGTTTTCAAGATGTGAAGGCAGCAAGGTCCAAGACAGGCAAAACCCTGGGCAAGGTCTGCCCGCCATGCCATTGAACCTCCACCCTCCTCCCAGAATCAAAGGCAGATGCATGGTGTGCATCTGCAGTGAGAATGTGCCACCAACAGCAGCACATCACAGCTGTGTGAACAGACACACGCATGACGTACAGCGCCAACCATTCGCTCACCAGGCACTCATGGCAGGAATCTTCCACGACGACAAGCAAGCCCTGCTCCCGCCCGAGGAAGTCCACCACCGCAGCAAACTCCTCCTCCAGCTCCTCCCCGATCTTCTTGAGGACCATGACACTGCGACCAGGACAATGTCAAGCTGATAAGGCTGGGATCGATATCCGCACTCATGGAGCCGCTGCCAAGCACACTAAGGCAGAGTCTGGGCTGCCTGCCCTACACCATCATGAGTGAGCAATACCATTTGGGGCGCTGCTTCCAGACTAAGAGGTGCTGCTGAGAGCTAGTGCAGGCGAAGCTCAGGCTTCCGTTTGCTGTGCAGGAGGGGTTAGAGCAGTGAATGAATGGGGGAGAGGGCCGGGAGCAGAGCACCCATGCCCCAGTGTGAGACAGAGGATAGCCATGTCGGAGCAAGAGACTGTGTCGCTCGTCGCGGCCAATGCCTCCCTGTCGTCGCACCTTCCACGATCTCACGGGAACAAGAGAGTCCATCTGAGCGCAACAGATACACATCGCTCTTGGGAGCGAGGTGGGCATGGGGCTTGACAGGCTGCTGCACGTCGTTGAGCGTTCTGGCGGACACACACGCATTGCAGCCCCTCTTTGGCCTCCTGGAGGTGAAGCATCCCGTCCAATGTGGCCCATGACGGGTGTGCCGGGGGGAGGCACGCCCCAGCAGGGTCGTCTCGGAGTAGAGAAGCTCCCCAGTCATGAGGTCATTCCGCTTTCCATGTCGGCATGGAGCGGAAGACTATCGAGCAGCTTGCGGCTCTCAGAAACAATAAATGCTGCACTCTGTACTGTCTGCAACGAGAGGGGGGGATTCCCTGCTCCGAAGTAAAGCTCACACTGGGGATATGGACCTTGGGATGGATCCATTCGCCCAGCATGCACTCCGCAGAGTTCCGACCACGTGGATCAGCAGGGTTTCCGAATCTTTTCTTCGGGGTATATGCGCTTCCAACTCGGCCTCGGGCCCAATAAGATGCCGGCAGGTCACCAAGGCAGCATTGTTTGCCCTCGCTGTCCCGTTCGCCATGGCGATTGGGCTTCGCGGACGACTGAGCCGGGATGGGCTTGCTGCCCTAGGTTCTTTTGAAAACGTCTTTGACCTCGACACCCTCCAAAAGTCCTGCGCAGCGCTCAAAGCTGGGCTGCGCAAGCATGTATCCAACGCAAAGTACGCAGGCAGCTGTGGAGAGGAGGGTCAGGCGCCCAAAGCCCGCCGAAGACCCCCACCAGTCCGGAACCCCTCTGCGCAACAGACAGCGGTTGGGCTGGCCGCTTTCGCCCACATAATTTTCGTGACGGGTGGGTGGGGAGCGCGGTATTTGGGCGACAATCAGTATTCCTATCTGGGTTGACCTCGTTTATGAAATCCGTGTTGCTGGGCAAAGTCTGGCCAGGGGAGAAATAGGTTTCCAGTGGTACTTGAACAGGCAGAGCACAGTGGCTGACTCCCACCCCAGCATCGATCGCTCAAGGCCACGCCCTGCTGCAATCCCCGGCTCAGAGGACCATGACCCCCCCCCCTTCCTCCCTGCTGCATCCGTGCAGGGGCCGCGCCCTGGGCCCTGCCCCGCGTTTTCTTCGCCTTCCTCACCGTGGCCATGCCCTGGCGCTTCTACGACTTTGTCTTCAGACACCGCGGCTACAACCTCTTCTACCTCTTCGACTTCTGCTACTGGGTCAACGCCGCGGTGGCCTGGTACCTGGCGGGCGGCGCGGCGGGCTGGGACCTGCCCCACCTTTCCGCAGCCCTCTACTCGCTGGCAGATGGCCCGGTGGCCTGCGCCCTGGCGGCCTGGCGCTGCCGCTGGACCTTTGGCTCGGCAGACCACACGACCAGGTATGTGTTTTGTGTGTGTGCTTCCAATGGGGTCCCCAGCGGATGGGTGGGATCTGCTGCTCATGTGCACACCAGCGTGCAGCCTGCCTGGCCTCGTCTTGGAAGGGGGAGGAGTTACCTGGTCACAGTGTCCACATGTGGAGAGAGTTGACATGACAGGCCCAATCTTCATACAGCCAGCCCTCGTCTCTGTGCTGCACCCCTCAGCTCCCCTGGCCCGCTCCCATGATCTTCGCAGCACTCTCATGCACCTGCTGCCCGGCCTGGCCATGTTTGCCCACCAGCATTTCGGCCCCGGCACCGAAACGTGGGCGGCACGCCTGCAGCGGCCCGCGCCGGCCCCCGCCCTCTCCTGGCTGAAGAGGTCTGACCTGCCTGCGCTGCTGGGCTGGCGCGTCGCCGCCCCGCTCCTCTTCTACGCCGCCTGGCAGCTGCACTACTGGCTGGTAGTCCAGGTCGGCTTCGCGCGGCGCATCCAGGCGCGCGGTCACGACACCAGCTTCCGGTGCCTGTCGCGCCGTGCTAAGCGGGCGGGCAACCTCCTGGCGGCCGTGGTGCTGCACGGCTCGGTCGCGCGACGCGTGGTTGTCTACGGTGCGCGCGCCGGCGGCCGGGGGTGGTGCGGGGTTGGGGAGGACGGGACGCCCGACCGCCCGCCCGCCAGACTCCTGCACCGTTCCTCCCGCCGACCTGCAGGGCTTGCCCTCTGCTCTTTCATGCATAGCTGGGACGGATGTTATTGTTCCCCCCCCGCAGAGCCCTCCCCTCCTCCCTCCAGCCCACCTGCTCCTCCCTCGCACCACTCACGGCCCAACACCACCCACGCGCGCAGGCCTGCTCCAGGCGGTCTTCACGCTGAGCACGCTGGCGCTGGCGCAGCCCTCCCTGACCAGCTTCCCCGTGGCGTGCGTCTGGCAGGTCGCCAAGTTCGCGCTGCCCCTCTGGGCGGCCTGCCAGCACGAGGCGCAGGCGGCCCGCCAGCACGAGGCGCAGGCGGCCCGCCACGCAGCGCCGCCAGCGCAGCACCGGCATGCGGCGCAGCGCAGGGACGGCAGGGGCGTGCCACACCGCCTGGCGGCACCCGCCTCCTGAAAGGAACCCGGTGACAACGAATCCCCCTTCCTCCCCGCTACCTGAGCGCCGTACAATTTTGGTGATGCCTCCTGGGGTGCTGCACAGCTGAGCCCGAAGGCACAGGCATCTTCGGCCCCCAGGGTGCTCTGTACGACTAATTTGGCCATGTACTCTCTGTCCTCATGGGATGGTTCCCCATGAATGTTTTTTTCTCGGAACCCCCAGCACTTTTGACTGTCAAGCTGATTGCGAGCGGTCCATGCTGCACACCCTGGTCTCAGAGCCTTTTGTAACAATGCTGCAGCTTGCATGACTCGTTGGTGATGCGAGGTGGACATGAAGCTGGTAAACTTGCCGCTGAGTGGACTAAGTCTCACCGAGTGACCTTTCTCGAGTGGATGTACCCCTGTGGCTCGGACACTGCACGCTCAGGCCCAGGTCCATCCACGCAGGACGCCCTCCAGGGGCCCGGGGTCGAATGCAGTGATGAGCACGCCGGCCAGCAGCAGGGCCAGGGCCAGCTTCCGGGCCAGGACCTTTGCCACTCCCTGCCCTAAAGGGTCTGTTGCCGGGCTGCCCGCTGCATCGTCCCTATGAGGAGATGCGGAAGGGGTCAACAGGTGTCAGGAGTGTCTTAGCGACGAGACCTCTCGGACACACTGTTTGCAGTGGATGGAGATGTGCGCATGCCCGCCGTGCAGCCACGGAGTACCTCAGATGCCACCACGGGGATTAATTTGCCCCTGTCACCACCCCCCACTCCTGTGCTCAGCACCCACCGGAGGAGCACAGACAGGACGGAAGCGAAGATGAGGGAGAGGGCGAGGGCGGTGAAGCTCGCAACGTTGAAGGGCATGCTGAAGTCCGGGATGGGCAGGGCGACCAGCGCGTGGCCGGCGCTGACCTGGTGGGCCGCAGCGGTGCAGATGCTGTCGGCGCACGGAGCGCCGTCCACATGGGGCGTCCACGTGACGATGGCCCCAGGCAGGGCGATGCCACGCGAGGCGTCGGCAGGGTAGTCCCCCACGGGCAGAATGAAGCGGTCGAACCAGCAGTCAAGGCGGAGGAGGGGTGTGGCGGTGCCGTGGGTTGAAGCCGCCATCCCCGCCGGCACCTCCACCTCCAACTCCAACAATGCGTCGCCTGATACCTCGTCTGTCTCGTGTCGCTCCCACAGCGTATGCAAGCCCGGGCGCGGGTCCAGCAGGGTCGTCTGTGCATCAACCACACGCAGGGCGCGCGGCACGAGCTGCACGACGTGCAGGCGCCCCGGCCCCAGCGCCCCTTCGACGGCGCGCACCGTCGCCGCCAGCCGCCCCGAGGTGGGTGAGGGGTGGGTGACGAAGCTCCAGGCCTCGACGCGTGCAGCTGTGGTCACAAAATTTGGAGCGAGCAGAGGAGGCCCCCGCACCCCAGGCCCCAGTGCAGGAGAGCTCGTCGCCGCCGGGCAGGCCCGCGTCCCAGTTTCCGCCAGCGCCTGGAGCCCCGCCTTCGGCCCGACCAGGTGCAGCACCAGGTCCATGACTGCGCCGCCGGCGCCGTCACTCTGCAAAGCGAGTACGTATGAGCGCCAGGTGGCCGCCCCAGTAACGCGGGCGACGGGGGCCAGGGCGGCCGCGAGCCCGGCGCGCACGCCGCAGGGCAGCAGCGCCTGCCACCGCGCCAGGTTCTCGCCGCACGCGGCCTCCAGCGGCGCCATCAGCAGCGTCTGCTGGCTGGGGGACGGCATGGGGAACATAGGGGTTGGGTCTACGCCTGTTCATTTCTACAAAGCCAGGAGATTTACAGATCCTCAAGCATCCACTGCAACCCCTCCCACCTGCCGTTTGCGGCTTGCACGGTAGGCATGCCAGGCACGCTCCACCACCCCAGGCGTGGATGAGCAGAGGCGACCTGGCCGTGCAGCGTGCCCGCACAGAGGATGGCGCCCAGGCCGCGCCGCAGCGCATCATCCCCGGCGGAGTGGCGGTAACTCTTGACCGCTCTTTCCTCCCTGTCCACGAGGCCACCATCACCTCGTGCCCACTTGACCACAAGACCATGGGGCGACATGGGCATGTCCTCTGCAGCCGTTTCAAGCCGCCGGCCCTGCGTGAGGCTCACCTCCAGCCGCCGAAGGTTGTGGGTTCGGACCAGGGTCACGAGGGCGGCAGGCAGGTCGCCAAGGACGGGGCTGCTGACGTTGCCCGTCACGGTAAAGTGAGCTTGGAGCTGGGGTTGGGGTTGGGGTTTGGGGGGCCAATACAGGGATGAGCAGGCTCAAAGTGGCAGGTTACAAAACGCAAGGAATAGTCCGCAACGTGCATGTCCGGCCTTGCCACCTCCTGGGTCTGCACCCATGCACCCACCAGGCTGGTTCCATGTGGTGTGTTGCTAATTCTCATGCGCTCATGGTACTCAGCCTGTTGCAGTATGATCAGGGTTTGTAAGTAAAACAGGGCCTGCAGTGCGGTGCTGTGCGTCCAATGCGCTGTACAGCCCAGATGATGAAGACGAGCTGACCTTCACGTGCTGAGCTCCAAAGCATACAAGAATGGTCCAGGCCAGGGCGCGTGCAGCGGGCACGGGTCGCGGCATGGTCGTAGATGCCGGGGTTGCTCACTGGCTGGGAGCAGCACCCCGCCGATGGCTACATCCTCTAAGATCAGGGTTCCAAGTGTTTTGGCGAGATGCACATTTTATGATGTACTTTATCCAAAGTTACAAAACTGTAGAAATCAATGCGACGCGAATACGACTGAGAAGACCTTGACTAGGGATGCGGGGTTTGTCGTGACTGGGGACTTGGATCACAAAACGCCGGCAGTGACACGATGGCGCACTAGGAGCATCCAGAATTTACGGTACGAGTGCATGCGAGCGTCGTGGAGGAGATTCCTATGCACCTGCGTTCCGCGAAGTGGGCATGCTCGCCAAAATCGCAGCGCGCAGGATCCACAAATTTGAAGTGGGGCATCGCATCGACGAAAATGCCCGGCCAGAATCAGCATTCAAACATTCATTACAGACAGCATGATGGGCCATCGTATCCAGGACTAGGCCCCAGCACACTAATTTGGCAGGAAAATGGGATCGATCTCCCACACGATGCGTCTCGTTGGCCCTGCCGGGACACGCCCCTGCTGGGGCGGTCGGGGCTCCGCCCTGTACCCTCATGGAGCCCGCCCGGAACCAGTGCGGGAGGTTCAATGCCTCGTGAGATCCAAGGACACCTTAATGAAGGAAGGCTCGAGGATTCCAGGCCGGCATGGTGGCCTGCCGACCTCCATGACATCTCTGTCATGGACCTCTGGTCGGCAGGGGTCCGTGGCATGTAGGAGCCTGCCGAAGGATGAGGCGTGGTACGAGCCCGTCGAGGAAGGTGAGGACCTGTGCAGGAGTTCCAGGGTGTGTTTCTGCGGGTTTGTGATTCCTGAGGGTGTGCTGGAGTGGTTCAGCTAACAACAGCGGCGTCATGCTCATGGGCTTGGGGCCTAGATACCTGTGATGGAGTTAACTCGAGCGATGGTCGACCATACCCCTCTGATGACTGCAGAGAGCCTGGTGGACGAGGATGGATCGGTGATCGTGCGTGATGACCTGGAGGAGCTGCTCAAGGTGACCTTGGGTTGGTATGACTTGACGGAGAGTGGATCATGGGGTGCGGTTGTCGGGCTGCACCTGTGCCCTTGCGTCTCCCTTCTATCCGCCTGCCTGATTGCCATTCCTAGATCGATTCACCCCCTTCAAACATAACGAATCCCTCTCGCAGGTGCTCCCCCCCGACCTCCGGGGCGGGCTGTGCCAGCACCCCCACCGCGCCTCCCTGCTGGAGGTGGTGCTGGACCTGGGCCGCCGCCCCGAGGCACGCTTTCTCAACCAGGCGGGCGGCGAGGTGTTACGCGAGCGCCCGGTGGACCGCGCCGACCTGGACCGCGCCATGGCGGCGGTGGGCGAGTTCGGGGGCGACAACCGCGCGGGCATCACCGGCACGCTGCACCGCATCAGCGCCATCCGCAATCGCAAGGGCAGCGTGGTGGGGCTGACCTGCCGCGTCGGGCGTGCGGTGACCGGGCACATGGACATGCTGGCCGACATCCTGCAGGGTGTGTGTGGCTTTCTTTTGAAGAGGGGGGGGGAAGGGTGAGAGAGGGAATGGAATGTGTCGATGAGAGGACACATGGAGTGGTGGTGGTGGTGGTGACTGCGTGTCGTGTTTGTTGGGCTTGCATTTGCCGGCAGGCAGTGTTGCTGAGGAATTGGATGATGAAGCAACGGGGCCTGGAGATGAAGGCTGGCGGCATGCATCAACCACACCATCAAGTCAGCACAGGCTCTGCCCCAACCACATGATTCCCCCTCCCAAACTGACCCCCCCCCCCCCACTCTCATCTGTATTCACCTAAATTTACCCCCACCCCTACCCTACAGCCGACCCCACCTCCCTCCTGTTCCTGGGTCGCCCCGGCGTGGGCAAGACCACCGTCATCCGTGAGCTGGCGCGGTCGCTGGCGGACGATCACGCACGCCGCGTCATCATCATCGACACCAGCAACGAGATCGGCGGCGATGGGGATGTGCCCCACCCGGGCATCGGCGGCGCGCGGCGCATGCAGGTAGGGTGGGTGGCGTGGAAAGGGGGAATGGGGGGTCTGGGCAGTTGTCCGCCTCTCTTGGTGCGGAGCAGCATGTGCTGACTCGATACGACCAGTGCCTCTCGTAGACACCCCACCACCAAGCCCCTCACCCTCCTCACACACAGGTGCCGGACCCCAGCGCGCAGCACGCGGTGATGATTGAGGCGGTGGAGAACCACATGCCCCAGGTGGTGATCGTGGACGAGATCGGGACGGCGGCGGAGGCGCTGGCCTGCCGCACCATCGCGGAGCGGGGGGTCATGCTGGTGGCCACCGCGCACGGGCAGACGCTGGGCAACCTGATCAAGAATCCGACGCTGAGCGACTTGGTGGGGGGCGTGACCAGCGTGACACTGGGCGACGACGAGGCGCGGGCGCGGGGGAGCCAGAAGTCGGTGCTGGAGCGCTGCGCGCCCGCTACCTTCCCCGTGGTGATCGAGATGCGCGAGCGCGCGCGCTGGGTCACGCACTGGGTGGAGGAGAGCGTGGACTGCCTGCTGGCGGGGCGCACGCCCATGGTGCAGCTGCGCACGCGCGACGCGCAGGCGGGCGGCGTCGTGGTCGAGCGCGCACGCTACGACGCAGGGGGTGAGGAGAGGGGTTGGAAGGAAGGGGGTGGGTAGTGGGAGAAACCCGCGTTTGATCAGGAGCTCGGAGGGCAAGGTCAGGATTCATGATCCACTAGCAGTTGCCCTTCCACCCCAGGGCTGTTTGATTGCCCCCCCCCCCCGCGCGTGCCGGCCTGGGTGCAATGCCATTTCTGCTCGCCCTCGATCCATAACCCCTTCCCCGCCACAGATGGTCTGACGGGGGATTCCGGGCCGAACCCGCTGGCGCAGGGGGGCCCGGCCTCCCTGCGTCCCGGCGCGGGCGCCGGCGGGGCCTTTGACGCCATGTTTGGGGCGGGCGTCGCCCGGAACGGGCTGCCTCGTACGGCGGGCGCCGGGGCGGTGGAGGAGAGCAGGGCGCCAGACCCCTTTGCGTGGGCCACGCGCCTGCGGGAGGTGCCCGACGAGGTGAGCAGGGGCTGTGGGAGGGAAAGGTATGGGTCGTGAACCCAGAGCCGAGATGCTAGACTTACACCGGGATCTGGGTGCCATGAGACTGTACTGTGGCAGTGCAGCTCGCCATGTGCTCCCCCGGTCTGTAGCATGTTCATAATGCTAAATCTTGAGGCAGGCAGAGCAGCAGCAGTGCTCTGCTACCCTGTATGAATCATGCCGCTGGTTGTGTCCTTGTACGATCAAGGCCGCCCCCGCAGCACTGTTCCAAGCACCCTCCTTGTGCAGGATGCGCTAACGGAACTGTCTGCTCTGGGCCTCACTGGCAGTGCGGGGTCGGGCGGGGCCGGGTGGCAGGACGACTTCTCCTCCTTCAGCACCAGTGAGCTGGGGCGGGGTTTGGTTGAATGGTGTTGGTAAATGTGTGTTGTATCTGGTGCTGGAGTGCATGAACAGTAGGCATCATTACTCAGGACCATCTTTCAGTGCCCCTTCCTCACCTGCTCACATCTCCTCGCAGGCTTCAACAAGAAGAAGAAGCGCAGCAACCCGTTCAAGAGATCATGAGCGGGTTCGCTGGCAGGCTCATGGCAGAGTAAAACTTGCCTTGATCTTGGACATAGGCCTCAGGACACATCACAGGGTGGGGGATTGACTTCACTCTCCTCCTCTGTGTGCGCATGTACCATATGTAGGTGTACCTTTTGCACTTGATACCATCTGCAGTTCATGTGCCCAAGACGAGTCGATCCCAGCTTCTGAACTGTTCCCCTTTGGCAGGTATTCCATGAGTTTTTGTATGGATATAGTGCCTCGTCTTGAGATCCAAGCTTCAGCGTCAAGTCCTTGTACTGTTCCCTTTGACGGCTGTTGTACAAGAAATAAACATCATAGTCCTCCCGGGCAGGGTTCATAAAGGTGAGATGGGGAGCGCAAGTTCACAGCTTGAGCACTGGGGCCACCTCCTGGAGGCACCAGGCCCTTTGGCAGTCGGTTTACGGCTGATGCTAACGCCGCCCTTGAGGTAGGATCATGGTACGCTAGGGAAGGTACCTCAGCCTGGCAACCCTGTACATTCTGTGGATTGAAAAGTCGAGGCTTCAGTCAGGTCCTTGATGCTTGTGCTGCATAATGCCTTATATCCGATCCTCTAATTGCCCATAGTAAGCTCAGTACATCCCCTCGAATGTGGCACTGTTGGACGCCTTTTTCATGTGTTCACCATCTTCCCCCTCGAGCTGCAGCCCAGCAATCTTTCGAGCAGAGCTCCAGCTGTGACGATCCATTTGAGTATTGAGACATCTGAGTTAATGGAGCCTCTGGATCATCCTTTCGACATTGATCGCAATACTTCAACTCCCTTGCCATTCTAGTCTCTGCTGAGCTGGGCTTGTGTGGCATTGTGTTGTGGGGCCGGGCTAGACCCCACAACGTGGATCGCTGTATATGACCTAAAGTAGGAATGTTGCAGAACAAGACCCCGAATACGGTGAGGGGCTTGAGTTTCAGGCACTGTGCCAGACGTCGTAGACACGTCGCAGGGCACGGATGCAGGTGGAAAGTGGGGAAAGGGCCTGGTCAAGGGGAACCCTCACAACACATTGAGCCTGATCTGTCGGCATTGATGTGCACCGACCAATCATGTCCTCGCTTGAGGCGTAGCTAGGGGTGCTCAAATGTCCTTTACTTCATGATCGCTTGAGGATCGCCAAACTATGTCATGCAGCTATTGCAACTTCGCATCAGGGGGTGACAGAATGCGCACATACCTCAAGAGTTCAGCAACAATCTCAAGTCCATACATGGAAGCACACTGAGTACATGGGAAGAGTCATAGAATGCACCGGGTACAGGGTGCCCAGGAACTGAGCAGGGTAGCCGAGCCCCTCTTCTTAATCGAAGGGCGAGTTCTGCCGAGCATCCTCGCAGTCGTCATTCGGGCAGCGCTTCCACTGGAGAGCATTCCCAGCTCTCCACCACCAGAAGCAGTGCGCGTTATCGGCGCAAAAATACCTCCTCTTGGAGAAGACCTCAAAACTCCTGCCTCCGCCGAAGCTCCCGTCGAAGTTCTCGCGAGTATTGCTACCGCCGCTAGATTGGGTACTGAATGGCTTCCCATTGTTATCTTCACTACCTTCTTGGACTTCGTCTTCGTTTTGACCAGTTGAATCCGACAGGAGGCTTCTATCCACCGTACGATCTGCGTATGTCCAATAGTCGGTAAGAAGAAAGGAGAGACATTAACCAGGAACATGACCACAGCATCAGGCTTCTCACACCGGCTTCATCATCCTCATAATGATTCAGCATGATGGTGTACAGTACACTCGACCTCACCCTGTGCCGCAACGATTGCGAGGGTCGCCATGACCAAGGTTAGTAGAAGGAGCCTGCTCGTGTGCTTCATGACGGCCTGAAATCGAGACCCAAGGAATATGATGAGTTGATATCTGGGTGGGTGATGTCTTCCTGTTGGATGCTAGATGATTTCGAGGAATGGAAGGTCCTTGCGCGACTTCTATGCCTTTCAGGGATGAAGCCACCTGAATGTCCGCTGAAGTCGACCGTGACGGGGGATCTGATCACTCACCCCCAGCCCTTACTCTTGACCTTCCTTACTGAACATTTGACCTTATGGTGAGAGCTTACGGAGACTTTTTTGGACCTTACAGCTGATTCGTTACACTGGCGAAGCATAGCAGTAACAATTTCCGTCCTGCTGGTCGGTGGTGTTCGACTTCCATGCCCATGCTGACTGTACCCAGAGGAGTAGAGCGGCTACATGCGACTCGAAGCTCATGCAAGCTTGCAGATATCTCGCAGACTAAGCAACTACTGGTACATCACGTGTTATCGATGCTCGGGGTGGCGAATTCGAGCTTCCAGTCTTTGGGGAAGTTCAGACGGACGTGCGCTTCCTGCTGTACCCTAAGTTTCACAATGACGACTCCTTTACGGGCAGAAGAATGTGTCATTACTGCCTGCTACTCATTACCTCACCCCAGTGTCCAAAACGACCACTCTGATGTCTCCGTCGGCCGGCACCTGCTTGGGCATGGCGTCGACCATCAAACCTCGCCACCTCATTGCAGCTAAACCTCGAGGATCTCTTACGAGGTTTCGAAATCGAGACCGTTCTATGCAAAAGTTCAATAAAATTTTCTCTAAAGACATATTAACATTCTGCGAGCATCCATAATCAAGTCTGATGCATTACAGATAAGGCATAGACACATTACACCATCAGACTGCCATGGTCCGCGGCGTACAGCGAGAGGATGTGCTCACAGACGTAAGATCAAAATAAAAGATCGATGCCATAGATCAACAGTAGGAATTCATGGGTTCCATCAAGGCCTCCAATGGGTGCAAGGTGCTCCAAGGGTGCAGCGGGAGTCGGCTGAGGTCATGCCCCTCATTCAAACGGCGAGTTGTACTCCGCGTCTCCACAGTCCTCCTCGGGGCAGCGCCTTGTCTTGAGGGCGTCATCAGACACCCACCACCAGAAGCAGTGTCCGTCGTCGAGACAAAAGTGCCTCACCCTGGGGAAGATGCCGAGCCTCGCAATCGCGGCAGCAGTTTCGCTGAAGCGGCTGTTTCCACCGATAAAATTAGATGTGCCTCCTTTGGTGCCGGTGGTGGGAGTTGTTGTTGTTTCTTCGACTGTTGTCTTAGGAGATAGTTCTTCCTTTGCAGCAGGCTTATTAACTACGGTTTCAGCAGTGTCGTTGAGTAATAGGCGCCCGAGTCTCCCATCTGCGAAAACTAGACGTGCGACATGGGTCGAGAGTGCACCTTCTACGACATCCAGAAGGGCAACACGAGCCATACTCTATGGCAACCTCGAGCACGAAAAGGAACCCCATACTAAGCACTCACCGCTGCGCTCAGCATTAACGCATGCAAAAGTCGCGAAGTATGAGGCGATAAGCAGAAGGTAAACCATGCGCTGCATGCCAACCGATTGCGGATAGCAGAGGTTTTCTCAGAAAGGGTTGGTTGCTTGCGACTTGACGCTGTCGCTGCAATCAGATGCATCAAAGCGAGCTCGAGGTCTTCATATTTGCGGCTTCTATTCTTCTCGGCAATGAAGCCACATGAATGTCCCACGGATTCCACCTATTTGGTTTCCCGCGAAAGGAGCATGGCCGCCATGCTCTCAATCTCGAGCACTCGAAATTTGGGGGCGCTGAGGTCGGCTTCTCGAGACCAATGTGTCGAGTGGGAAACTAAGCACCAACAACTCGGCATCACCGAGATGAAAAGCACTCATGCGTCAATGATTCGAAAATCCTTGCTTGTCGACAATTCAAAATCCAATGTTCCATCCATGTGCTATCGCGACCATGCGGCGTTCGTTGGCTACAGGCAGCTAGACTGCGGGTGTGCTCGAGTTTATAAGGCATTAACATGCCTCGAAATGGTACATCAGATTTTCTTCCATCTTAGAGTCGAGGGAATGCTGTATAAACGCTTTTGGAGAGGCGCAGAAGAGACAGAGATCTGATATACTAAACCGTCGGACTGTTCGGAGCACGTCTACGACAACTCGGATTCGTGAGATTCCCAATGTTCTCAGGGCAGGTCGCCTCATTCTGTAAGCATTAGGTCATCAAGTCGAA